TTTTAGCATTGGAGGCTTGTGGTACATTTTAAGATGATAGATAGATAGATAGATAGATTGATAGATAGATAGATAGATAGATAGATAGATAGATAGATAGATAGATAGATAGATAGGATAAACAGTTTACAGACTGAGGTGAAAATTTAGCTAAAAGCAGAAAAGCAAAACCATGAGCTCCAATGTTCAAATATTCCCACTTCCAGCATACAACATGCTTCACTCCACCGAAGCTTAATGCAAGGAGATTTGGAGTGTACTTCTATTTAACTAAAAAATATTGTGACACAAGATATAATGATACCTATCAGCTTCGATGGGCTTAAGGGGACTCACAAAATCATGAAGGATGGAACATTCAATGAATATTAGTCTTAAGGCTGATTACAACCTCTTGAAGAGCAGGCAGCACCAGTTTTTCAATACCAGCTGTTTGGGAGAGGACGGAAAAGGGGCGGCACCCTTGTGTGCATTTTTGAGCGTGGTTGTGGGTGATCCAGAATGCTGGACTAGATGGGCTGTTAGCCTGACCCAGAAGGGCTTTTTCTGCACTCAAAACTTTGTCAAGCTTCCAAGATAACAAAAGAAGCTCTGCCACAGGCTTCATAAAGGACAAATAGGATATACAATGACTGTAGCCACGGGCATACTGGCCTAGGTAACTGAGTTAATATACCCATGGCTTTCTAGAAGAGGGTACAACCGTAGCTGTTTTTCTGTGTTTCTAAACTTTCCAAGAGCAGCTGGTAGACTCTAGGAAGCAAGGTGGAGATAGAAGCTCTTACAGTCTGACAAAGTGTGGCAATTTCTATATAGCCAATGCAAACCATGTTTAGGAGTATGTGGGAAGGCAAAGGTAGACCCTGTCTGCAACTCTTTAAAGCAGCCACATCTTTCCTTGTGGCTGCCCTCTGCAGCTAGCTACCACATGATTCAGAGAGGAAAAGACGTTGTTTCAGAGAGTTGTGGGCACGTGCTATGCTTTATCTGCACACTCTAAAGCAGCTTCTTTGGAAATGAATCTGTGGCCTGCTCCATGTGTTTAAGAAAAGGCTAGCAAATCCTTGCATGAGAGTTCACAGCTGACGGCCTTCGAGCTAGATTTGGACGTCCGAGTAGGAAAATGTTAAACTTGGGGAGAGAAACTTCTTCTTTAAATTTTTGTTTACTGCAATTATAGTTAAAGAAGGAACAGGGAACTTGTGGCCCCTCCAGTTCTTGCTGAATTGATATTCCTGCAGTCTCAGCTAGCATGGAGTAGCTAGGCAGACGCAGGATTTAAATTGGGATGAGGCGGGGAGAGGGAGGGGAAAAAATAGCCTAAAACCTTTTGATATATGTGAGTTCAGCAAACTCTCACTCAACTGTGCTGCTAAAGTTTTATTTTTCCGAAGTGGTCACTTAGAGATTTATCTCAACAAACATCATGGGATTTTAACACAATTGTTAATTGATAAGGTGCTAGCAGTTGGTCTCACATGCAACCTGCATCTGTACAACCAACCCGTATTCCCTTCACCACATTCAAATTTAAATGCTATTTCAATGTAGCCATTGATGCATCTGCTGAAGGGAGCTACAGCTCACAAAAGCGTGTGCCTTTTAATAAAATTTGTTAAGTGGAAAAGGTATTACCAGACTCCTGGGTTTTTGCTATCACAGATGCTTCCTACAGCACTAGACATAAAACTCATCTGTTACTTAGAGCCTGGTTCAGTAGAGGTATTCCTAACATTCACCATTTCCAAGCCAGAACTATCTTTTTTTGCTCAAGTTACTTGAAACTGCTGCTTTTCTCCCCCTCCCCTCCCCTCCCCTCCCCTTCGCCAGGTGTTCATGTGGGTTGGCAAAGAAGCCAATGAGATTGAGAAGAAGGAGGCATTGGCAACTGTTCAGGAATATCTGCAAACCCACCCCAGTGGGAGGGAGATTGACACCCCCATCCTGGTGGTCAAGC